ATGTAGTAACGGCTTCTTGAGGCTCAAACCCCAAATTTTTCGGTATCTAGCGACGCTCCTGATCTTCGCTGTGTTATAAGTTACTATATCAGTCATCCTTTGAGATTAATGCACATGCAGGTTTAACGCTATAAACTAAGCGAATATAAAGTATACACAGCCTACTAATGCAGATATTTAATAGAATAACGAATGAATATACATTCTTCTTCTTCTTCTGCACAATTTCCATTCAATGATTATAATCTATTCGTAATAGAAACAAAACATGACGTCACGAACAGTTTCTGTGACTTGTGGAAATCTTTATTTATAGTAGTCACGTAGTGTGATATCATTTATATAGCTTGCGTTTTCTTTTCTGGAAGGACGTAGACAAGAAACCTCACCCTTACGTAACAGCCCCCTTCGACTAAAAGCGATATTGATTTTTACTTTTCCTTTAAATATCGTGGAATTGGAAACAGGTGTTTGTACTAAAACATTTCAAAATATACACCTGCAGGAAATAAAAACATTTACATCAATGAAAGTACAGTAACTTTTCATGAGCATTTTTTTTTACACTTAAAATGGCCCAGCGCTATGTCTGCGAACTTACAACGCTAGAAACCGGGTTTCGATACCCGTGGTGGGCAGAGCACAGATAGCCAATTGTGTAGCTTTGTGCATAAATTCAAACAGACAAATACACTTAAAACAAAGTTTAGCCAAGTGAAAATCAGTTGTAACTTATGAAATACAAAATTAAGGAATTTCGCATCAACAAATAATGTTGAGTTTGCTTATAAACTTTGTCCCAGATGACAAATATATTATCATTAGCTTAAAAACAAGACAACACAAAGAAATTAGATTTATGTACATATATATATATTTACCTAGGACAATTACTCTCAAGACTTCCTCTGTCACGTGCCACTATACTACTTCGTGGCTGGGGAATAAAAGATCCATGTGGGGAACCAGATCCCGAACTACTGGTAGAGGGTGTTTTCGGTGTAATGCCACCATAACCTTTAAGTAATAGAAAAACGAAGCTTACATACACATTCATTGCAATACATTTCTAAAAAAAAAAAAAGGCTTATCAGATTTTTTGGTCAAAGACTTTAGTTTGTTTGTTTGTAAGTTCGTACAATTTATAGTTACATTGTTCTTGTTTTTTAATCACTTTGCTTAAGTTTCTATTTCATGTGATTTAATACCGCGCCACAAACCAGGTTTTATTAATTCGTAGATTTAAATAAAGGCCGATCAAGCAAGATATCATCTAATCTTTTTATTTTCTTTTTCCACATATTCTTTTTAAAGCTAATGTTTCTACTATTCGGATACATATGTAAGCAAGGTATGAAAATTCTAAACGTGTCTTTAAGCATATCTATTTATATCAACAAAACGTAACTCGAAATATACACCGAACAACGCTGTGTAAATTTATTATTCCTTCTTGAGTCTCACATCAGTTTCTCACACCCATTTTTTGAATTTGCGCAAGAGAGGGCGCTATCGAGGATCAACTTCTTTTCTTTTAAATACAATATGGTATATATATATATATATATATGTATACATTTGTTTTCTCTCCAGAGATAACCAGTGAGGTAAAATTGTAGTTGAATAAAATAATATTTAGAGGTCGCACAACAACGTAAATGTTGATGACCTCATTCAATGAATGAACAACATTCAAGGAAGAAGCGATACCTCCTCCAAGTGGTAGAGGACCACCGGAAGCGCTTCCCTAAACCTTTCAAAAGATTGCTCTGTCAAACATAACTATTTGCTATTGTCCTGTATATGTTATTTTTGGTTGAAGCAAAAACTAGATTTTTGTTGTAAACGTTATTTATTTTGTTTTAAAACGTAAAAGTGGACGCAATTTGCCATTTTCTTACATACACATTAAAATATTTCCTTAATTGATGTAAAAACCATAATAATTTTGTAAATGTCATATATTTTTGCTTAAAAAAAAAGAGACGCCATTTGCCATTTTTCTGTATTTAGTGTACTTTTGGTTGAATCAAAAACTACAACTATAACATTATATAATATATAAAACATATGAATATAATGTATTTTATTTTTTATGATTGAATAATATTTAACATTAGGCTTTCCTCCTCATTTAATTTTCATGCAACAAAGAAATTAAACAGTTTTCTGTTGAACAGATGGTCCGAAGATTCAATGCTTTGAGCGACCTCTAAATATTATTTGATTTACGTTACTTAGCACAAACCACTTTCTAATGGATGGTTACAAACTGAGGGAGTAAGACTTAAGATATCTTTATTTTGAAATTTTACCCCTATAACTAAAAACCATCCTAAATGTGTTATATATATATATTGATAAACACGTTAAGATAAAAATGCAGAAACATTATATCTCCCACTACAGAAATTTGTTTAGAAAGAATTGACTAAAGCTACATGGACTTCTGTATACTGCTCGTTTTACCTTAGTTCACCTCGTCTCTGATGTTAATACCTGTAGCAGCTTTAGCCTAACTGAGAAATGAACACGTTCATTTTCATTTGATTATCATGGCATTAATACAGAATGCAGCTCTCAGTTTTATGTTAGTATACGTGATTTAAAGTTTTGTTTACGAGCTTGATTTCAGTAACTTGGGCTATAACTGGACTTTAGCTTGAAACACAGTTTTTCTGAAGACTTTATTTCAAAACAGTCTTTTTTTTTAACATTTCTTTTTTTGCACATTAGTTCCAGTGATCCAATTTTACCATCCATATTGATAGAGTTTATGGTTTCGCTGTATTAACTATCAATACAATATTTACTAAACTTGTATGCCTAAAGTGATTTGAATTCCTTTATTTTCTTTCAGAAATTTAAACCTAACCTTTTGTCCGTGGCTGTTCAATGACAATTATTGACTTACATTGAGAGGAAAATTAGACTAGGATAAAAGGACTGCCTGCCGGGCAAGGCGTTGACCAGTTGCTGTTACACGTAGTTTGGACACTAGTTTGATAAATCAGGTAACTTGCTTGACGTCTCAGACCAGACTATTTCAGTCGGAGATGACATGCGTGTTACCAAACGCTACGACGTAGTTCATCGCACTTACTATATACCGCAAGTACTACGACTTTCACGACACAGGTATTTTCTATATATTTCTAAAACCAAATGTATTATCTGAAAATGTTCTATACAAGACGCTAAAAGAGCTCGGGTATTGATTATTTTGTATTTTTAAGGTCTAATAATGGTAGTATACATGTACACATAAAGAAGTTTTTTATTACTTAAAACAGAAAATAAAATGGAAAGAGGAGTAGAGCGGGATCTGGTGAAGTGTTACGTAGGGAAAAAAATAGAAAACATTGAACCTTAGCAAGGTATGAAGTTGTAGAACCTTAGCAAGATATGAAGTTGTAGAACCTTAGCAAGGTATGAAGTTGTTGAACCTTAGCAAGGTATGAAGTTGTAGAACCTTAGCAAGGTATGAAGTTGTAGAACCTTAGCAAGGTATGAAGTTGTAGAACCTTAGCAAGGTATGAAGTTGTTGAACCTTAGCAAGGTATGAAGTTGTAGAACCTTAGCAAGAATGAAGTTGTAGAACCTTAGCAAGGTATGAAGTTGTTGAACCTTAGCAAGGTATCAAGTTGTTGAACCTTAGCAAGGTATGAAGTTGTTGGGTGATGATTTTCTCTTCTACATTTTGTACAATGGCAGTTCTGACTTTATTGAAACGCCTTTGTTTCCAGTATCATGGGTCCGGCATGGCCAGGTGGTTAGGGCGCTAGACTAGCAATCTGTGGGTCGCGGGTTCGAATCCCCGTCACACATGCTCGCACTTTTAGCCGTGGGAGCGTTATAATGTGACGGTCAATCCCACTATTCGTTGGTAAAAGAGTAGCCCAAAAGTTGGCGGTGGGTGGTGATGACTAGCTTCCTTTC